TATTATATATATAATACATACATACACACACACACACACACACACACACACACTACAGAATATAAGATATATTAATTGAAGCATATGGCTCAACATTCTGACCGAAACTCAACCTATTTTATTAGACTCTAGGGGTCTTTTCAAAACACACGCCACTACAAATTTCAAAATAAAGGTCTTTCATTTACACTTTAATATAGTATCTTTTGACCTAATACCAGGGAAAAAGGAAAGGGAAAAAAGAGTGATTTCAATACTGGAAATGGATTCTATATCACTGCCGACTCTGAACCTTTTCTTAAAACACACTGCTACACTTTCAAACTAAGACACCAGGGAGTCTGCAAAATAAAAGCCTCTCATTATTCACACTAATTCATTGTGCGTTCAGCACAAACAGCAAGCTGACAACACCAGACTACACAAGGTGATGGAAAACACAGTGGTTTATCAAACTTTATCAAAACCTCTCTTTATACGGTCCAAGAAGGACAGTCTGTATCTATAAGCTTGATCTAGGGCTTAAACTAACTATTATTTTGCAAATCGATTCATGTTTTTATTATTGTTTAGATTAATCAATAAATAATTGGATAGCCAAAAAAAAAAATGTTTAGGAAAATAAACCAGGTGAAACTAAAACTTTCCACTGAAGGACTTCTCGTTAGAGCACATTATAATCTTGGCTTAATTACTGCTCTAAGTAGGATGTTCTGTCAGTTAAAAGCATGTTTTAATGTCTCTATACCAGAAGTGGCTGGCCAATAGAGGGGGCGCCGCCCCACCCACCCAATGATCCCGATTAAGACATAAAAAAGATTAAAAAACAAAAAAACAATTTAATTTTAAATTAAAATGTAAAATATTTTGAAATATATTATTATAAAATTTTTTCATGCACAAGATAAATATTTAATCTTTAATGACTAGCAAAGTGTCAAGCCTAATTTCGCCGGATTGGTGACATACTTCCTCCCTAGGGCGCAAAAATCTTTGGCCACTGAATTTAATTAAAAGTTGGACATGCACAGTAGCTCCTCTGTTATAAAAGGTATAAGAGAGCTCAGAGCCAAGCTGCGATCTGAGGTGACCGGAAGTGTATTTGCTCACCGCCTCCCGCCACAGCACAGACGTCAAGGCTAGGCTAACTGCATGCAGCGAGGCTAGTGCTTTTTTCTGCTTTCCCTGCCTCCTTTTTCAAATGTCAGGATCTGACCCAGCATGGATAAAGACAGCTAGGACTGATTTAAAGCACTTTTTAGATAAAGCAAAGACGAATGAACAATCTGGGATTCACATGGAATATAATATACTATCGTCTACTTTTTTTAGATGTTAATGTTAATTTGCATAGTTGCTCTTAAATAAACACATTCTCAGAAAATAAATAGATTTTTAATATATTAAAAGATATAAGGCTGATTAATAGCTTCTCTGTTATTAAGCTGGTACATTATTTTTTGTAGCTTTTTCAAACAATATTGGATCATGCAAAACACAGATTTCTCACAAAGCCTCAGAAGGGCAAGATTTATGTACAAAAAGGAAACCTGTACATGAAATTATGTTTTGTTTTTATAATGTTTATTGTTGTTGGCATTCATATAAATATATTGGTGTGATAACTTAGTATATGTTTGATTGGTTTTTGGTATAAGTCCATTTTGAATTTTTGCACCCCCATTGAGAAAACTCCATCAGCTGCCACTGCTCTATACTCTAGTAAAGGATTAATCAATTACTAAAATAGTTGACAATTATTTCAATAATCGATCAATCTGATCAGTTGTTTTAGCCCCAGCTAAATCATGGGAGGCCTCTAGATCAGGGGTAGCCAATTAAAAATCAGCGGGGTCTGAATAAAGAAAAACATCAACCAGTAAAGGTCCAGAGACATTTTTAATAATAATCTGTTACTTTAAACAGAATTTAACATTGAAATAAAATGATGTTTTTATGCATTCATGTTATACATTGAATTTTTAAATAAAAAACTATATAAAAAAGAAGAACATTTTTCCATTTTAACATCTAAAGGGTTTTTTGAAGTAGAGAACAATAATCGTTCAGTTTGGTATACAGACAATTTCCTGGTTCACATATTTTATAAAACACCTGAACTGACCATTAGTTATTTTTTTTTTCTGTCTAAATGTTGGCAGTGGGCTTTATGCTGCCCTGCAAGTCTTTAAACCTGGGTTTGAATAGAGACTAAGCCATTCTAAAGCCATTCCAGTATCATTTGTGAGCTTATATATTCCCAAAAACTAAGATCGTTTAATTAAATGACTAGATGCAAACTACTTCAACATACCAGGAAGCAGATTTATCATCTCAATCAAAATATTTATTTTATACTAAAAGGCTTTAAAGTTTAATCAAATCCAGTCAAAACGGCAAAGAGCGCCTCTCACAACTTCAAAAGAAACTTCTCATCTCAGGTATGGATAAAGAGATGCTGAGTTTGGAAGCAGAGAACAAACATAGTTCATACAAACCATGGATGATGCCAATTACAAAAAGCCACAACAAAACTGAACATATGCTGGATGCTGATTTTTTATTATTATGTCATATTAAATTAAGCTTTTATTTCTGCATGTTTTGCTCCTATGAAGTTAATAAGAGGAAGTTGGAGCGCAGCAATATGGGAGGAACAGCGGAGGCTATAGGCGCTGCTTTGCACAGGAGGTCTGGAGCGCAGTGGGGCGGAGCAAAGATGGAGGATGTAGGATTTCGGGGTTAGACACCGTCGTCGGACAACATGCAGTAATTTATAAATGTTTCAAATGTGGTTGGGTCCAGATTAACCAGAAGGTGGGTCCGGATTCGGACCGCGGTCCATTAGTCCGTGACCTCTGGTCTATATGTTTACCCCCGTTAGCGGGAGCTGCTGCTTGCCCGCCATGTTTTTCCATGCAAATCTGTCCGCGTAGTTACAAATCTTCCAATGTGCGCCGTGGGCACGTTGATACTTGTTTTTGATCACAGCATTTAACTTACTGTACGATGAGCCTTAACAAGTTTGGCTGGGACTGGATCTCCTGGATGGCATAGAGCTCCTTCAGACTGAACTCCTCTCCTCCTGTTCGATCTTCCCTGGAACCTCCAGACTCCTCGCCTCCTGATTTGGAAAGCTTACCTAAACATTAGATCCATGTAAATTTATCTGCACGCTTGGAGAGAAATCTGACACCAATGAGAAAGGTGTGTGATGCTCGTTACCTTTGCTGTTACTGACTGAAATAGCCTCAATGTAGAGGAGAAACATGCACTGGTCTTTATTTCCCCTGGTAGTACCTGCAATCAGAAAGCAGATGGTTAAACTGTGTGGGCAGAGTGATTGATCTCATGTATAGTTTGGTCAGAGGTTTCCTTATCATTAGCTCCAAGTATGATCACATATTGATTAGCATGCTAGTACCGTCGTTAATAACTCTGACTATCCCTGTGACAGTGACAGTGTCTCCAGGGACGCAGCTGTCGCAGAGGTCAGAGGTCAGGTGGCACTCCACAGTGCGAGGGATTCGTCCAGTCTCCCTCTGCTCGCCGCCCACCAACTCCTGCACCCTGCAGATGCGGGATTTCAAAGAGCTCAACCAACAGGCTGGAGACAATTATTGTTGGATTTCCTGTTGGGCTTAAATACATAAAAAAAAAATCTGAAATAAAACTTTTAAAAAATGATCACGAAAGGTTGTGAGAGCAACTTTTTTTTTCTCATTTTAATTTTTTTAAATAGATTTTATTTATTTAGATTTTTTTAAACAGCTTTTTCTTTTTTTTTTTTTTACAACTGGCAGCAGATTATTTTCTGTCTTTAATGATAGGGTATGTAAACTTTCAGGCACTACTTTTTTTCAGTTGGACATAAATCAAAAATACAGTTTTTGCGATAAGCTCACTGTGACACTGCTGCGGGATCTAATCAGCCCTTTAGGGCGCTACAGTTGGATCGGCTAGCATTGCTAGCTTCAAGCTACCTAATCTCAGGCTGCGCATATACGTGTAAGCGGCCATCTTAACAAAGTTTTACGACTCTTGGCTCGGCAACACCTCTTAGCCTTGCTTCCTTGCTTCACTGTTTTGATTTTATTTAAGATCTCTGCGATAGTAGTAAATTACATTTATAATAATAATAGTTAAACTTTATTAATCTCACACTGGACAAATTTACCTCTACAATTAACCCATCCCCTTGGGGAGCACTGGGCTGTCACTGTGCGACCCCTGGGGTTCAGTGTGGGGTTAAGGGTCTTGCTCAGGGACCCAGAGTGCTGGCTGTAGGAGTTAAACCCAGAACAAATGTGACCCAAGTGCAATGCTGTAACCGCTAGGCCATGTCACTTACCTTATGCTTATTTTCAGTAGTGTTTAGTGTTTGTACAGTTATTAGATATAATAATACTGTAATAGGAGTTTTTAGGCAGTTGGCCCAGTCGGCCTCAGCAGATGGCCGCTCACACTGAGCCTGGTTCTGCTGGAGGTTTCTTCCTGTTAAAAGGGAGTTTTTCCTCTCCACTGTCTCTACAAGCATGCTTACTGTGAGGGATTGTATTTGAGTCAATGAGTCGATGCAATCCTTAGACAGAAAACTTTGAATCAATCTGACCAATCTGTTAAACTGTAAAGTGCCTTGAGATGACACGTGTTGTGAATTGGCTCTATAGAAGTAAACTGAACTGAATTGAATAGACAACAACGGTACTGATATTTTAACCTGTGGTTATTTGTGTTTAATCGTACTCGATTTATAACTCACCTTGGTAACTAAACAGATTATAGTTATAACAATTTAACTAAAAATCATTTATTGGTTTTACCCTTGATTCTAATGCCCTATGAATTAACTATGACCTCCAGTTCTAGTTATTAATATACACTCATAATCTGCAGGGAAAATTGCAATCTCCAAGTTTAATAACATGTAGGAACATTTTTTTGTTTATTCAGACTGTGTTTAAAACAGTGGGCACAACAAATCTTTGGAAATTAGTTTGTAATACTTTTTTCACTCAGTACGTCGTTAAAAAAATTTAGCCCTTCATACGACGGACATATTCTCTTGATACGAGAGAAACTCGACTTTTTAAGAAAATGACCACTCCTTAGTTGATGGCCAGTCAATTGATAAGATCGATCAGTTTTAGATTAAATTGTTAATGATAATTTCCAACTCTAGTCCCTGTCAGTCAGAGCCCTACATTCAGAGGGATAAATCAAATGCATTTGCCACAGTGTACATATAATGCAACACAGAAAAATGGAGAAAAAAAGAACACCTGCAAAGGAAGCACCACCAAAAATCTTGGGTCATAAATGGAAAACATTTGATATGAAGCAAAAAAAAAAAACTCACCTCCAAAAATCAACATTGGGTAAAATAACAAATACTCCAGCAGCATCTAGATCCAAAAGTGGCATATGCCGTTCAGGAACTGGCATTGGCCAGTTTTGTCAGAGGTCCTACATGGGCCCTGAAAATCCTAATCTGGTTTTATTATTATTTTTGCATTCATGAAAAACTGTTTATGTATGTAGTTGTAAATATATCCATGCGTTGGAAAAAAAACAAAAAACATTAAACAGTCATACCACCAAATCTTGTTGTTGTGTTTGCTCTAACAATGTGAACAAATGTTCAGAAAGTGGCAGCACATTGTCAGACTATGAAGTAGATTGTGTCTGCTAAGCATTAGCCTAGCCGGTTTGAAGTAGGCTAAGTAATGTAGTCCAATGTCCTTTCGAAAGAAAAACATAGGTGACTTTAACCATTTTAATTTCTTTTTTTTTATAAATTGTTTTTGGATTAAATTAAAATTGAATGTGTGATATATAAATTCAGGTGCCTGTTTTACTGGCATACCACTTCAAATGTGGCATATGCCATTTTTCAAAACTAGCCTGCCAGATACTACTTTTGGCACTCGCTGTCACTCAAATATTCAATTCTTGATAAACTCTAGGTAGCTTTAGGTTAGCTTAAGTTAGGCCTGACCAGCAAGGTCTTGTTTTGTTTGTGGAAAAAGACTTGTAAAGAAAGACCAGCTAGATGAGCGAGGTGCGCGAGAACGCTGGGATCCTTTTTCCAGGTGGATCCCCGCTCTTTTTGGCCCTCATGTCCCTCTGTTGTCGCACAAACTTGCCCCCACTTCCTCAGGGCCTCGGCCGTATCTAGACCCACAGCTAGTTCATGATTGGCCCTCTTGCATTGTGGCGTGGAACAACATAGCGCAGACCACGCTTCAATATTGGGCACCAATCAAAAATATCTGCGACCTGCTGCTGCTGGAGTTTAAGCAGCCCCGAAAACCTTAATTTTGCTCTGCAGTGAATATGATCAGGATATACTTACTTGATGATTTGCCAGTCTACTGTTTTTGTAAAGGGAGAACTGCGAAGGGGGATGAAGGTACGAGCTCGACATCCAGGCTGGGAACACTGTGATAAAACACACAAAACATGTCAGGATATGCTGTCTTTGTAGTCAAAACAGAACAGAACTATAAGCAAGGAGTGATTTGGATGAATAAACCCTTCTTAAATAGCTTTCATTAATAGTAAATCTTTTAGAGCTTTATATGAAGTTGCAATCCCAACTTTTTTAAATGAGGGGAACAGGTGAGCATGTTCCAACTATTGGAGAGATCCTATACAGGGCGGCTCACTCTGGACGTTAAAACTGTTTAGGGCTAAAAACAAGTATTTGAACTGTAAATTTAAAAAAAACAACAACTTTGTAATCCAGAAATTAAAATTTGAAAAACTTCCTATAAAAGGTAACTTTAATAACTTTGCTGTTTCATTAGATTTAAAATTTTCTAATTATTTCTTTCACATTTCATTTTTCTTTTTATTTCTTTCAAATATTATTCTTTTAACAATGTTATATTTTCAATTTTTTTCTCTTTTTCAGATAGATTTTTTTTATTTGTATAGCTAAATCTGGAAAAGAAAAAATGTAAATTTTTTAAATTACATTTTACTTACAATACATTTAAAAAAATAAAAGAGAAAAAAAATATCAATCCGAATAAAAAAAACAAACTATGATTTTAGTTCACATATTGAAATTTAGGTCTGAATTGCCATTGTATTATAAGGCAATTAGGTTCTCTATTTATATTTTTTTAATTTAAATCTACTAACCAAAGGGTAAATTCTCAGAAATAAAGCCAAAATTGTCAAAGTAGAAAGAAGAATGTTTTTGTTCTTTGCTTCCCTAGAATAATGAAGATATTATTGATCTGTGTGTAATGCAGACTTCATAGTAGATCAGGAAGTGTTTGCTTTGGGATGGAAACCTTGTTTATCTAAAACCCTTCATTTATTGTAAGTTTTGTTAGCTTGTCTGTCTGCTATGTCAACCAATAGGATGTTTTGAAAAATAAAAACTTAATCAATCCTAATAAAAAAAAATTATTTCATTATTTTTTATTAAAATGGCTTAAAAAACTTCAATCTTATAAAATAGCAAAGTTACACTCATATCCTGTTTTTTGACTAAATTGTGACTAAATCTATAGAAGCATATTGTGTTGTCTTATGTTATTGTGACCTTAAGCTCA